ATAAGAAAAAAAAAGTTGTCTAGGATTTCATATTTGAATATTAAGATAGGGGCTTGGGAAGAAGGATTCTCTCGTAAAATTAATCATCTAACCTATAAAAAAGAAAAACGAAATAAAAGGGAAACAATACTGCCAGGGTTATTTTAGTTTTGGGTCAAGTCCAAATAGAAGAGCCCAAGCCCAATGCTTCCACAAAAATGCTTAACCCTAACCCTTCCTGTTAGAGTTACGCATTGAGAGGCAGGAATTAGGGTTCTCGGTGAGAGGAAGATAAAGGAAGGATGGCGAAGTTCAACGTGGTGCAGAAGCAGAAAAGAGCACAGATTGCTGAGAGAAAGAGATTAATTCATGGGGATCCTGTAACTGGGAAACTTAAGAATATGCCTCAGGCACTCGCCATGTCGGGCAAGCGCAAGCGCAAGCTCCTCAGGAAATGGCGCAAGGTATGTATTAGTCTTTGCTGCATACAGTATGCTTTTCTCAACTTGCGGATTATCTTTGGAATAATTGTTTTGAATTTCTATTCAATGAATGAATTGCAGGGGCAAAAGGAGGCCATTGAAAACGGCCTTGTGACCATGCAAGATGTGGAAATGGCAACTGCTGAAGGTGTTTTACTATACAGCTGAAACCTTTTTTTTTTTTAAGAAAAAAAAGGGTCTTCTTTAATCCTCTCCTGTTAACAAATATTTTAATTTTTTATGGAGGACTAAAAGGAAGTTTGCTTATTCCAATTGAATGAAATATGAAACAATGTTTCTTTAATGGGTTATGGCACATAGTGTCTTTAATGGGTTATGAAACATAACTTCTTTAATTTTTTATTCTCTTAATTTGCATCTATCGTTGTACGACTTATGGTGGAAAAGCTATGTATGCAAGGTGTAAAACATTAATTGGTCATAGGTTTTGGGGAAGCAAAGCATACAAAGTTTCACTGTTTGTGTTACAATTTGTTTGGGAAAAAAAAAAGTACTACTATTAGATATAAAATGGTGTCTGAATTGCTTGTCACTTGCAAGTCTTTATCATTTTATTTTTCATGTATCTCTAATTCTCTATCTTTGTTTTTTTCTTAAACGACATGTGATACTTGACTTGACCATGCATTTACTAATATCTGAGGATGTATTGTACAACTAGAAACTACAGCCTTTCTTAAGTAATTTCTTGTGATAATAAATTCCTTGTTCGAGGCCATTCTTGTAAGTTATTTTTGCAGAAGTTGTTACTAGACCAACAAAGTATGTTCTGTGATATGAAAAAGTGCAGCAAAATGTTACATTCTGGAGATACAACCTGAATATGACAAGAATTTGATGAAACTACTTTGAAGCGTTTCAAGGGCAAGTTGATTTATGAATATGTTTGTGTGAAAATAACTAGATCCAAGCTCTTCTTTCCCCCACTCCAGCCTATGAAATTGAGGTTTCCCCATCTCTTCCTTTTTAGCAAGCTCGTATATATTCTGAACATAATTCTGTTAAAATATTTGTTTTCCCTCTTTAGTGCTTTTTTTCCCATACACTGCCTACCCATAACTAATATGAAGGAATCTCCTAGAGTTTTTCGTTTTTTCAATTTCAATTTTTTGTGGGAGTTGACACTTGACAAGGTCATCCCTCAGGTAAATTGAGTGAACCAACAAGAGTCATGGTTGTAAGTTTGAGGTTGCTAGAGTTTAGCTACCATTATTATTTTGGGTTGTCATGGTTTGATATTCAAGATTATATGAAATGGGTTTTCCTTGTTGGAAATAATGCCTCTTTGTGACAAGACTAAATTTTCATAGCATGACTACTGCATTCTTCTAAATTTGAAGTTGATTTTACAGGTAAGTCTCAAAAAACCACCAAAGCGCCAAGAAAATTTCAGATGAAGAAGAATTTGAAGCTCAATCATATAAAGCGAAAAGGTAAGTGATGATGCAACATTCTTCCTACCAATGCCTAGTTCACCATCTTGCTAGACTGGTTTTTTTTCAGTTTTATTTGTTCTTTGTATTGTTAATTAAGAATTAATGTTACTCAATTCACAGGCAAAAACAAAACAAGTTCCAAACCAACCGTTGAAGCTTCAGCAGATGCCATGGTAGAATAAACCATTAAGGAGACATGATATAATTTTGGGAACAGAAGCTATGGTGGGATAGAAAACTTGCAATGCTAACATGGTTAAGAGGACGGAAGGGGGGTTGGTTACCAGGAGATCTGGTAGCTCCCTTATAACTTGTTTTATCTGCAGTTTCTAATCCGCAATTCGTGAATGAACTCCTAGTGACAAGTCCTTCCTAAAATGGTAAAATTGGAAAGAAAATTTAATGGGAATTGGGATATGATTGTCTGGAAATTTCAGTTCCAAATGATTCAGTATATGTCATTGTTTCCAAGTGTTTTAATTACTTCGTTTGTTTGTGTGAACAACACTCTTAACACTCTAGTTATCAATGCAAAGTTGACTCGCTCGATAAGGGTGCTCAATAAGGGTTTCCGAACCTCAATATCCACGTGTCGTAATGCTCTTGAGGCCGACGATAGTCTTTGGATGAAGTTGTAGAAGTTGTTTAGAAAACTCTCGACCATTGTAGCGGATAGGATGAGATATTTAAATTAGCTAACTTTACCTACGTATTATTATAAGTGACATTACAATTAAGGTCCTAGAGGCAAATGCTCACATGCGTCTTAAAAACCAATCTCCAACAAATGAGTAAAAACTATTCAGTCGATTATAATAGTGTTTACACCTAAAATAAATTAAAAGAGAGAAAGGTTACATGTGTGCTTTAGGATTAATTGGACTACATTTTTTGTGGCTTTAGGATTAATTGGGCTACATTTTTGGTGATGGGTTGAGTTGAGTCCATAGGTGATTGTGGGTTTAAGTTTTGAATGGATTAGGATAGAATGATTAGAGTCCAAGTATGACAAGCCTTTTAAGGTGGTTAAAGTTTAACCTAATTGGGAGATTGTGAAGAGATTTTAGGAATATTTATCTGGATTTTATTGGAGATTTATTAGGAGTTAACTACCAATTGCCAGATAGGAAGGAATTGCACTCAGATGTGGCCCTCTTTAGCAGGTTTTTGCGAAGGCAGAAACAGGAATCATGGGAGAAACCATCCAACAAAAGAGAAAAACAAAAAAGAGGAAAAAGATCAATTTTACAAAACCTGTCCTACAAATAAACCACCTAGCGCGAATGTATCTTGAATTTTTAGACCTTTTCTTTTAGATTTTAGTGTGATTTCTAGATTAGAGTGCAAGACCTACTTTGGTTCTTAGTTTTAGCTTAGGTTTAGTTTAGGTTTTCCATCCTTGTTCATATTTACCTTCAAAGATTGCAACTTTTATTAATTTTTAAGGATTTTGAAGCAATTTAGCCTTATAAACAAGCTACTCCGTTGATTTGATTAGTTTTTCTTTCTTCTATGGATTCATCTTTACTGTTTGTTTATGTGAATGGGTTGAATGCTTTCTAGCTTTTCTTCTTCGTTTCTACATAGTTGCCAGACGATTTAATTTCACAAGTTTCCAGACTTTAATTAATTCATAAATTATATTTTGGTTTCAGTAATCAAGTAGTCTAATTATCTTTGTTTAAAGTCTATAAGTAATTAGTTTGATTTCTAAGAAATCATTATAGTCTACATAATTGAAATCATTGTTTGCAACCATTTTGCAGAACTTCACCCTTTGTTTTGTAACATTGTCTAGGGTGTAGTTTAGTTCACTGATGTTCTTTCGGAGAAAGAAGGCGACATGTCCAAATAATTATTAGATGTTCTTTCCAATCATCTATTTGGAAGTTGACTCTTGGAAAAGAGAAAGGCAGTTTGGAAAATCCAATTTCTTGTTTTTAGAAAAGCAAGTGGCACACCTTATATTTAAACTCACGTAGCTAGGGCTAGCTAAGGACTTTTGAGGAAAAAAATAGTTTAATATGACTTTTTAACTTTTAAAACTGATTTTAAAAGAAAATTTTAATAGAACAAATGAATGCTAATTGACTTTTTGGTATTCAAAAGCACATTAAATCCGAATTAATTCAAAGTCAAGTCACGTCAAATCCCTTAAAAAGGAAGACTCTTTCAATGCCTGTTTCTATATTAATAAGATTCGAACTTAAAAACTTATTTTTAAAAAATCAAATTTTTTCCACTTGAATTAATAGGTTGTTAGTCTTGTATATTATTATTATTTAGTAGTTTTACTTGATCAAAAAAATTTCAATTATCTTTTATATGTTATGTCACACATTCACTTAAACTTTGTATTTCAAATGTCAAAAAATCAAATTAGAACTGCTACTATTGAGTAAATAAAGTATTAAATTAAGTAATCTTAGATTATCCCTCATCTTTTTAACCCAAAAAAATTTTTGGATTATTATTACTATAATTTTTTTTTAATTTCTGTAATTGCTATATTTTTTAACATTTTAATTAATATTGAAGAATACAACAGTTCACATTAATTTCACTACTAATGCCATATAGATCATTTTAGTTAGACAATTAATTCAATAAATATCAACTTTTATTTTGGTCAATATTAATTAATAAAAAAGATGCAATAATTACACATTTAATGGCTCAAATTAAAAAATTATTATTATTATTATTATATTATGAATTATGATATGGTTTTTACATTAATTATGTTTGGTTTGAAGGAAGCAAAGAGAATGGGAAAGGAGAGGATTTTCATCTCAAAGTAACTTTGGAACTTCCATAGGAAGGCTTAAGCTCTTTTTTATATCAATTAAGAGTTGGTTTGATTGAATGAATAGCTATTCATGGACAAAGCATGGAATTAATGAGAACTGAGCAAGAGTTGAGAGGTAATAACTAAAATTTAGGTGTTAAAGTTAAACACTTAAATCATGCTAGGATAAGCTTCATAGGCTTCAATTTTTTTTTTTTTATGAAAAGGTTTTAACTTAATAGGCTTGTTGAACGGTTGAATTGTTGTCTCATCATTATGTGGCAGTCAAGCACACTTATCCCAGATTTTCATAAAATAAAATCTATGAAGAAGAGTATTAGAACTTTGGATGTTTGGAGAACAAAGAGTTGCATCGGTATTTGGTGGTTGAGGCTCTAGCGAACAAATTTGGTAAAAGTGTTAAATGATAAATATTTATGAAAAAATTACTCTTTTCTTCTTAAAATAATTATCATATTTTTACTTTGAAATTATTTTAAATTAAGTATTTTTTTTTAAATAATGAGCTGGATTTTTATATATATTAATATGAAAATTTTGCCTTGTTATTGTTATTGATATTTTGATAAATTTATGACATTTTAATTAATTTTATATAATTTTGTAGAAAATAACTTAATTGAAAGAAATTGAAACTTTTAGGATCAAGTTAAAGAAATCAGAACTTTGAGGATCAAAGTGTCAAATTAATGAGAGATGACAGACCAGAACAGTTTTATTAATAAAGAAAGAAAATTGCTTAATGGCCCAAAGAATTCGACCCGAACTCTTTATTCAAAGATTTAGTGACAGTATCGGCACCTTGTTTAGGGCGTCGACCCCTTAGACCTATTTTTGGGTTTTTGTGAGGCTCCCTAACAATTTCCGCAACGTCAAGTACTTAATATTTCGGGGTGTGCGTCTCGTTCCTATTCTAATTAGTTTCTATAAAACTCTTATAAATAAAAGATAAGGGAGTAAATATATCATTAATTTGAGTTCTATTTTTTTAAGTTTTATTTTTTATTTTGATATAGATTTTTGATTTATAGATATAATTTTAGATTTTATTATTTTTATTTTAAATTAATTTAGCCAATTAAGATTATGATGTAATTTAATTAATTAATATAAAGTTATAATTTTTATACTTTTAATTGATTATGTAATTTATACATAAACTTGAGAGAAAAAATTACATGAATTAGGTCAATAACAATATAAATCATGTGTCTATAAAACCAAAAGATAATTAGCATCACATTTGATGGTAGAGGAAGAGAAGAGAGTTGAATCTCTTTTCTTAAATTAGAAGTTTTTACATCATCTAATATTCATCAATTTATTTTAAATTATATAAATAATTATTAATTTTAATTTAAAAAACTAGGTAGTTAATTTAGAAGAACTCACTATCATATCTAATACTACTCAACAAATCAAATGCCTTAGTACATCATATTCGGTTACCTTTATTTTAATTATTATTTACTTTTATTTATTTTAATTACAAAATTTTTAATTGTTTAAATAAATCTAGAATTAATTATTTTTAATACTTAGTTAATCAATAATCTTCTTGTTATCAACACTCTACTCATTATTATACTGCAATATTACATTTATAATGTCACATCAAATTGTAATCAAATTGTAAGCTTATAATTATAACGTGTCATTAAATGAGTATAATGTAGCATTAAATAAGTGAATATATACAATATTACAAATAGATTTTTAAATAAAAAGAGCCAATTATATAAAGATACATGATATCGTAATTATATCATTTTTGCAATATTATTTGGAGCAATTAGTGCACTTGTTAGAGTAAAATTAGTGTGAAGATACTATAGTTGTAATATTATATAGGATGGTGCTTCATGAACAACCTTTTTATCCCACCTTTGATACAATTTCCACATGTCATTAACTAAGTGGATGCATTCAATATTACAAGTCTCATATGAATTAAAAAAACTAATCATTTAAATGACATGCCAAGTTGTTCCAAAATATGGTACAAAAATGTTATCTCAAAATCATTTCCCTAATATATAATATTGTAAAAATACAACATGATATATTATTGTATAATTGGTTCCTTTCTTTCGAGATTCCATTCATAATATTGTATTTATTAACTTATTTAATACTCGTTATGATTATAAACTTACAATCTTATATAACATTACAACTATAATGTTGTTAAATTTAGCATAGATAAATATTTTTTTCTACTTTAATCATATCATTATCCATTTAGTTTAATTTATCATCTAATTATAAAAAGTTTCTCTTTATTTTTATCTCTTTATTATGGGTATTATAGATAAGAGGATAATGTAGAGTAGGTCGTTCTCCAAAAATTTTTTTAAGAACCTATCTAAAAACTTATCTTCTCATTAATATTTTAAAAAATGTTAAATTGAAAATTTTATTTATATAGAATATGCATATTAATTTTCATATTGATTTATACTTATATCTTTTTTATCAAAGAAATTTCATTTATTGATATATTCAATAGTATTAAATTTTTTGTAGTCAACAAAATGATTAGACCTACTAGAATAATTAAAAAATTGGTATGTATGATTCACATAAATAAAACTTTTAATTCAATAATTAATTTTTAAAAATATTAATTAAAATATGATTTTTTAGTTAAATTCTTTTAAAAAAATTTAAGAGGAAAACTTGGAAAATATTTTTCCCTATAAATAAATATATTTTTTTCATTCAACTTTAATAGACCTTTCCAACTTAGGAGTGATCAAGTTTAGTTTTCCACATTTCTTTTTTAGAATATCACTTAATGCATTTATTTCTATTTTACACTTTAAAAAGATAATCACATCATATACTCCCTTTATCCCTAAATACTATACCTGTTTTATCTTTAGTTGGAGGACAATTTCTATTTCCACTTATATTAACTTCAAAAAATAATAGGACTTTAAATTATAATAGGATAGATATTTAAAGTTAAAAAATAATGATAAAATTAAATTAAAAAAAATGTCTCCCTTAAAACATGAAAAAAGATAATTATTCTAAAACAAAGAGAATATTAAATAAAGAATAATGATAAATAATACTAACAAACTAATAGAAAGTATGTTATTTAAATTATTAAAAAGTAAATCTTATATTATTTAATAATTAACCTATTTCACTTTATTAAAACTTATAATATTATATACATCTATCTATTCAATAACATAATTTGCTACCTCTGTTGTTCATAATTTCGTCCCATACCTTGGTTCCCCTATCATTATTCTTAAATAAAAGGCCTATTTCGTTTCAAAAAATAAATAAATAAAAGGCCTATTTAGGTAGTTATAAATTAACGGTAAATATAAAATTTTATAAATTAGTAATTATATTCTTACTTTATCCAATCCATAATAACTGTTATTTTTTAACATATTTCTTAAATTAAGAATTTAAAGATAATTTTATATATTTATCCATATTATTTTAAAAAAAAATAAAAAATAGAGTTAATTTTTGATAATGAGATAACTAGTTAAAGTAAACGGATAACAATAGAGTTAAAAGTGAAAAAAAAAAAAATCCATCTTAACAATTGAAAAAATTATAGTTAAGTTATGACAAATTAAAAGTAAAAAAATAATTATTATTTTTGAAATAACAAGAGCAATTTATTAAACAAAAATAATAAACCTCTACATTAATTATTCTTAAATTTTTAATTTTTAAACAATAACAATTATCTTAGGACACTTTTGCTTTTTGTTTGAATCGGGAGGTGGTGTGGGGGGGTGGGTGGGTTGGCGTGGTTTGTTGGAATTGTTTGAGGCCTGAGCCCCTTAGCCCGAGCGTCTGAAGGAGCGTTCCATTTCAATGAGAAACTACACATGTTTAAGCTTGCCCAAACACCCTCACCATCATTCAAGAGGAGATTAGGTGAGGAACCAAATTGAACCATAAATCATGGCCTAAATATCCAAAAGCCGAAGCTTAGAAGAGCCGAAGTATGGCATCTATGCAAGATGTTACCCAAAAATAGCAATGAAAACAAGCTACCCTCAGTCAAGAATACCATGTTCCATCTGATCCCATTCTCGTTTCTCTCTGCCGGCCACCACAAATAGAGATGTTGATGCTTATTACCTCCTAAATAGACCAGAACTCAGCAGGGTTCTACCGTATTCTGCAATTATTGGGGAGCTCTTGACTAGTTCCCATATCTTTGCAGAATTTTTTAACCAGTCACGCTCAGACACATTCCTTCCAAACGAAGGGCAGTTCATGGATAAAACCTGCAAATGAAACTTATTACATGTCCCACACAGAATGAAACAAACTTTGTGAACATGAACTTGTGGAAAATGCTAAGTTGTAAGCATACAGAGAGAGCAAAAGAGATAGACCTGATCCCGTAGTTTCCAAAGTGCGGTGACATAGCTTTCACACTGGTCTCTTGGAGGCTCATCTTTTATCTTGGATGGAATTACAAATAGATTCATAAGAGTTGCATCTGTAGCATCAGTCTGAGTCATAGGACCACATTTTGTGGCTGCCTTTCCATATTTCCCCTTTACGAATGAGGAGGAGCTGAAGTGTTGTACAAGTGCCTTCTTCAATTTCAAAATATTATGTGGAGTAAGATCCCGATCTTGCATTCTACAAACAATTAAAACAGAAGAATCGAGTTGCATATTTGGTTCACTCAAAACAAAACATCCATTAGCATAAGAACATGAACTCGTTGATTATTAACTAATGACAGAATCTTAGTGCAATTCTGATAAGAATTTATCACGAAATAGCCAGTCATAATTGAGTAGAAGACATATCATATAAACCCCTGCTCTTTAATTTGTATGCAAAATAAACTAGGACATTTAAAAATTCATGTTTGGTTTTTAGACGGTTATTTTCTGAGACAGTTCCAACTTCTGGGAAGGAAAACCAAAATCTTCACATAGCACTTGCCTACTTCATTCTTTTCGTCAGAAAGGGGGGAAAAAACCATTAACACACATATAAATACTTTTTGCTGTATGCATTCAGTATTTTACTGTATGATTCATTACTGTTTGTTCTGCTCTTTAGGTTATATGCATGTCACTAAGAGAACACAGAAAATCTTTCAACATGCGTGCAATGATATTTTATGAACCTAGAATAGATGGTAAGACCCAGAAGAAATGACAATAGCCTTGATTCAAAACTAAGATATCCAGCTATGTTCTTGTGAAATAGGGACCTAGAAGAGACAATAAGACTACGTTCAAATTAACCTAGGAGGGCATAGATACTAAGGATTAGGCTTAAATATCTAAGATAATAAGAGAAGACACGAAAATTCTAAAAGCAAAACCGTTTCCTATTTGCCAAGTCAATGCCATCATCCCACCACAATCTGAACCATCTATTTTCAACTAAAGCCAATCCCACAATATGAACCATCTATTTTCAAACAGTGAAACAGGATTAAGGATATAAGAGAATGGTATTCTTCAGGGCAGACTGCAGTTAAAAACATCAGTCCAGGGTGAAAAAAGACAAAAACACTATTCATATTTCTTCATGCATTCTGATTCAATAGGGGTATTTTTGTCTTTTCCAACCCCAGACTGATTTTTTTAAGTGCAGGCCAGACTCTAGAAAACATTTCTGAAAATTTATTTATATTTCAATTACATATATTGACTGGAAGTTATACAACTTTGGTGTTGGTCACAACCCTACAAATGTAAGTCGTAGCCACAATCTACAGACATCTAACTCTCTTTCTGTCAAAAAGAAAATGATTTTAGAGGTTAAAGAAGTTAGTAGTTGACCTAATTGCAAATGTGACGAGAGGGTGGGCTTTACCACGGTTTACTGGTGATGTATGCAAATGGTATATGGTGTAGCGGCAGTTTTTGTGGTGGTGGTGGTGGTAGTGACTGGGTAGTGATGGTGGCAACAACGGAGTGTTGATGCTGGAGATGAACAACATGTAACTAGGGTTGATAATGTGGTGATCATGGAATCATCCGCAAACCATAGAACAATACATGTGACTCCAACACAGAACAAGAAAAATGTTTCCATGATGATTCATTCACTCATGTCACACTTATAATTTGTCTCTCTTTCACCAAGTCAACCAAGCAACATACAGTCAAGTTGGAGGGACCATTTCCTCAATTTATATAAGTTGCATGGTGATTCTAACAATATTAATGGGTATTAATGGAAATGGTTTACTCACTTGGTATGCACAAAGACTGGTGTAGCCATATATTCCTCACCTTCATGAACTTTATCTTTAGCTTCTTTTTCTGTCCATGAAGTATGGGGAGGGGCTATTGAAGATGGATCGGGTATGCCATGCTTCAATAAGTCAACCTGCAGATCCAAAGGAAATTTAAAAAAAAAAAAAAAAGGCAAAAAAGGAATAAACTATTTTATTACTTGGGTATATTAAAATTTTAAGAAGAATTCAATTCAGGTCCTGTTCCGTTCTTAATGATTGACCACAAATTGGAGTCCATTCAATATATAACTAGCTTAGCATCAGAGCTTAATTTTGGGGACTAATATGCATGATCAAGGATCTAAGTCATCACCATGTTTACAAGCATAGATTAATCGTACAAGCATAATCAGTTCTTTTAGGCAATGCATCAAATTAATAAAGAATAGTGCACAAAGTAAAACCTTTCCCAGAGATTTTAAAAGCACATATAATGAGATCTCAAAGAAAACAACCTCTTCACCAGATTACCAATATCAACTTGCTGTCTTCTAAAACTGTAGACAATAAGGGAACATATTTATTACCATACAGTGGTCAGGACTAGAATAGTACCGTCAACATCAAATTCCACATGTTATTATCATGAACTCCTTCAGACACCACCAGCAAAATGTGACAAATAGATGACAGAAGAACACCAAGCTAAAAGGATTCCTTGCAGCACCCACAAAAAATATAAAATAATTAGACCTTGAGATAAAAAGAACAATCAAACATCAAAGATGATAAACAATCAGTTCTATGAACACTGAAGATGAAATATCCATCTGTTTTTCTTCATTACCTGAATATTCATAATTTCATGAGCCATCTCAGCAGACAGGGGTTCACCACTTAGAATCGAAACTGTGGATGAGCCATCAGGCCGCATCATCTCAGCTAAAACAGAAGGACTGAAAACAGACTGCAAGACAAGAGAAATGTTGGAGTGACTATGATACACAAAACAACCAACAATGTTACAAATAACATACAAATAAGCAGAACGTGATAATTTTCAAACTACAAAGTCTAGATAGAAACAGAAAATTAGAGGGTCAATTGATTGTTCATAATCTCAAAACCACAATATGGAATAACCTAAACCATAATAGCATTTATATATAACAGTTAGGATCAACTTTCACTGGCGTTAGTGTTACACCAATTTTCAGCCGCTCATTCTAAAATTTCAGCAATTGATGCAACACTTGATGTTGCAAAACAGCCCCATTCAAAACATGTGGTTGAAAATTGGTGTAAGAGTTTCTTTAACTTACACCATGTAAGTTGATCCAACTCTATGCACAATGTAAAATCCCAATGACACTAATAAAAAGACATAGTAATCTATAGGAAGAAAAACGAATGACGACATAAATAAAACAAACAAAATAATTTCACCAAGATCCTAGGAAATATATTGGAATTGCAAAGTAAATTTAAAATAATTAAATTTAAATTAGAATCATAAATAATATAAATAATTGATCTAAGGACTATTTGTTGGCTACATGAAAGCCTTATTCTTTCCGCACAATCAACTTTGGAACAAGTAGAGTATTATTGAGAACAAGAACATGCACTTGACCAGATACAAATAGATTGTAAAAACTTGTACAACAATATATTGTTCTTGACATGGAACAAAACCTATGAAAGAATTATTCATACGATATCTAGGATTCTTATGTAACTATAATTATTCAAGTGTTATTTTAGGTTACAAAGAAGTGTTGCAAAGTCCAGACTACACAACGTAAACCATTAGATGGGAGGCAGGTCCCTGATATTAGGAGTTGTCCCCCCTATCCAATGGTTCTAACTCTTTAGGTTATTATTAGTTTTCCTAGTTTTATTAGGATATGGAACTTTTATTAAGAGTTAGATTAGGAATTCTAAATCTTAATTTTTAGCATGATTTAAATAGGAATTCTATTTCTTAGTCAGTTATGAGACTTTATATGCTTGCAATTTCTTTCAAAAATTACTAAATGATACTCAGATTATTTCAGGCAATTTATGCTTTTGTGATTGTGTGATGCAATCAACCTTTGGTATGATCCCTTAATACTTTCTATTCTCTTTGTGATGCCTAAAGAAACCCAATTTAACTCCTATGGTTCTTATATCTTTCTCAACCTTTTCACCCCTAAATCAGCCCCTTAATCACAAAACACAACACACCCTCAACCTGTCCCATGTCAATTCCTACTAAAGCCCACGTTTAATGGGGTTCAATTGAAAAGAGCCAATTAAATATATGAAAGAAACCAACTTGGTTTCCTCTGCTTTCAAACACTGATTAGGAGAAAAGCTTTGAGCTTTT